AGAAAAAAGACAAGAGAATATTGAAAAGTAAGATTCCCTAATTTATAGAAAAAAGACAAGAGAATATTGAAAAGTAAGATTCCCTAATTTATTCTTCTTTCCTTTTTATTTACTCTCCTTCACCCTTTCTACACATTCTTTAATATTTAATATTCTTTAATATTTAAACATAAAGTATACAGAGTCGTGAATATAATTCTATTATTTTTTAACTTTTTACTTCATTTTTATTATGTTTATATTCTATCTTTTAAAATAACGTTATTTTCCGCTTTCTTTCGAGATTTTGTTTTAATTTTTATCTATCAACTTTTTTAAAAGTAAAATTAGAGTCATTCGCGTTTTCGCGGTTTTCGCGTAACATTACAGCAACGGGGCCACCGGTAAGGTTAAACGTGGTCTCGCGTCGTGGGACTACGGTCATCTCGTCGTGGGCGCGCATCCTTCGCATCGTGGGACAGTAAAGGTAGGTTCCTGATTGCTACGTGGGACTGGAGTAGAAGATACATCGATGGACGGCGAGGGACTACGCGCAACGGTACGTTATTATAAATAATTTATTCTTCTCACAAAAAAAGCACCTCACTGTTAGAAAGGTTGCTCTTTTTTATATATATTATCTTTAAATTTGTAGTATAATGTACACACAAGCATATTGCAGTTTTTAGAGTTATATATGCCTAATAAATTTTAAATATAGTAAGTTAATTAAATTATTCTGAAACGGTTTCTTTTATAATAGTCTGGAAAAAAATCCTTCATATATGGACATATTCTATATCTGTGATGATGTTTAATTAAATACAATCATATATGAGATCTTCTCAATCTCATGCAAAATTAGTATGCCTAGATATAGAATTTGAGCATACATGAAGAATTGTTTCCCAGAAAAATAATGATTTAGAATTAAACTATTTATTATCTTCTATATCTCTACAATACAAAAATTTGTGAGAAGAATAAATTATTCTGCATGAGTAGTAATCGCACTGATTTTTCACTATATCGTCACTCTCTACGTATAATCTTGTAACTCCGAAACGCAAATTTTAGAGAAGAGCAGTTTAAAAGTTTAAAGGTTCATATAGTTTCCCTAGTTAAGGGATCTTTTGGTTTTAAATTTTTACCTTATGAATATTTTTTTAAATATTTGGTGACCATAAAGAACATGACTTTTTAAGCGTTATCATGCAATAAACTGAAAATCCGGTATGTGACACTTATGTAATTATACGTAGGGAGTGACGATTCTTTTTTGATGAAATTTCCATTTATTTGTATATTGTGTGATTTAAAACAATACTGTAATATTTCTTTTATATATATGTGCTTTTTTTATTTTTTTTTATATATTTTTTATATATTTTTTTTAATATATATTTTTATCTGTATTGTCTACATTTACTTTCATATTTCTATATCAATTTCTCTTAAAGAACCGATATAGAATTTTTTTTTAGAGACTTATGTTCTTTTATACTTCTATATCAATTTCTCTTAAAGTACTGATATAGAATCTTTTTTTAAAGACTTATATTCTTTATATCTTTTTTCTACATCCACTTTTATATTTCTATATCAATTTCTCTTAAAGAACCGATATAGAATCTTTTGTCGGAGACTCATGTTCTTTATATCTATTCTCTTGTTTATACTTATTTTTTTCTATTTTATCTTTGCAAAAATATATAATTAAATATATATTTGAAATATATATATATATGTATATTTAAATATATATTTTTACTTTTTTCATATTTTATCTCATCTATAAATACATGGTAGGCTTTATCGGATGAGTACATACTTTCTTTAAATCAAATAAAATATAAAAACTCGGTCGCGAAAGTAAAATAAATTTAAAATAATACTTTTTAATTTTAAAACAATTGCCCCTCGCGTAAAATATTTGATAGGTTTTAAAACTTTTCAAAGTAAATAGGTAGGTAGGTAGTTATCTGTGTAGGTAGGAGATGCGCATCTACAAGCGTTTGTAGAAAATAAATTAGGCCGGATAGATAAGAAATATGTTAGATCGGAGGTAGGTAGGTAGAAGAAATAAAAATGTACAATTAGGATCAAGGCTGTTATGCAGCCTTAATCCTAATTAATGAGGCTAGTAACGTTTAAGATATGTCAGATGTTTAAGATAGGTAGGTAGGATTATATATACTATGTATATATATTGTATAATATTGTATTATTTTGTATTATATTGTATGTTATATGTAATATATGTAAACTATTGTATTCTATTATAATGTATAAAAAATTGTAAAATGAAACTTGAAAATTGAAAACACACTGATAAAGAAGTGTAATAAAGCAGAGTAATAGATATCCTTTTTGGAATTGCAACTTTTCAAACGTATATATTTGTGTACCGGCAAAAACCCTTTGTGTAATATACATGTCTTTTTGTGTAATTTGTATTTAAACGTATATATATGTAGTTTTTGAGAAAATAAAATAAAATTTATAAAGCAAAAAGCAGCAAATGATGATGTAAAAGGAGATGATACACTCCACGAATTCTGATGCTGCTCGCTAAAATAATATTATTTTCTTGACTATCACATCTTTTCTGATATATCACATTTATGTTGTACGAAAAGTTGCAATAGTTTTTCTTATCCTTTTCTGTTTTCCTTTCTCATCTTCTCATCACGAGATCGGTCATTTTAAATTTCAAAAAAAATCAAATTCACGCTCTCGAATATACTCGCACACTTAAAGAAATTGACCATTTAAACTCGTGCACATAGCACAGAATAGAACCGCACGCTGTGAACATAGCGCACCGACATGTCGTTTGTGGCTGTGTAGTTCCAATGGCTTAGTTTACATCGTCAAAACTTGATACGCGTATTAAGTTTGGTGCGTACCAAAGCCTTTAGTACGGGTGCGTTTACATCAAACGTACTAAAAAACAAAAAAAAATAATACGAATATAATTTATGTCGATTGCTTCCTAGCAGTGATAGTTGGAATTAATGTGCTTGAGTTTTTTGTTGCAGATTATGTATAATTTGTTTCAATAAAAAACGTGTATAATGTAGAGTGTATAATTTATTTGAAAAAGAATGAATAATAACAGTGTACAAAAATATATAGCTTGAGCCGTTTTAAAAAAACCTCTTTTTTCCATATCTTCAACTAATAAATTAAAAATATTTATATGTTTGTGTTTTTTTTTTCGTCTAGTTAAACAACAATTAGCTTTTCGAGGCATAATTCCAAAAATGTTTTTGTTTCATCTTCTTCTCAATTCATATCTTTTCTGCAAGACATTTTGATTAGAGAGACTGAAAGATTATAAGTTTATAGTCTTTTAACCTATATCTTTTAATCAAAAAACAATATTAATAATATAACAAAGTCAAAATTAATAAAAACGCAGCTCGTAATATCTAAATAAATATGTCACAATATTAAAATCAATATACAACAGGCCAAATTTACGAGCAAAATCTGAAGATGTTCTTTATTAATCAAGCTTAACACCATTATTTATTTTTTTGTGATACAACACTTATTTCACAACATTTATTTATAATAATTTTTATGGTCTGTTGCACAGGTTGCACACAGGACACGTCAATGCGTAAGCTCGAGCATTTTCTCGATTCCCTCTTTCTTTCAAAAAGTGGTCACTCAATACGATCGCCATGACGTACAGTAGGGAGCAACATATCGAGCGGCTCTAGGGGAAGTATTTCTCGGAAATTTCTTCTTTAGCTGCTCCTATTACTGCGCGCTCTTTTCCTTCGATCTCGGACCGTTGGCGGAAACCGAAGAAGAACGGCGCGCGATAATATAGAGCATCTAAAGGAAAAATTCCCGAAAAATATTTCCCTTGGAGCCTCACGATATGTTGCTCCCTACTGTACATTCGTCCCCGGATTTGCCTATCCCCACTACCAATACGTTCCTTCTTGTTTCTTTTCACTCAATGGACTTGTGCACATAGCACAGAATAGAACCATGTCCACGTTTGAACGTAACGTACCGACAAGTCGTTCGTGGACATGACTACTGTTAGTTGTCAATGTGCACCACTTATGGATATTGCGCTGGCTTACAGAGCGGAAAAGCGATTATTCATACTTTTACGAGCCTGGCCGCTCTCAGGTCCGAATTTATTAGTCGTTTTGAATTTGGTTTTTTGAGTTATATGCATGGTGTAAAAGGAAAGGTGTCCCGTTTCGACGGATGCGCAGTATTTCATGTTTATATCGCGCGGTGCAAATGAGCTCAATTTCTGATTGGTTGAGATTATAACCCACCGCCACATTATGCGCAATGGGACACCTTTCTTTAGCTGCGTTCCGTTTCACGCATGTGCGCGAATTTGTCTATACTATACGTGACGTGTACTATAGATAAATGCGCGCATATGCGTGAAACGGAACGCACACTTTGTATACCATGGCCATATGTGCATCAAACCAAACTATTGGTTTGTCAATCGCATATCTCAAAAGTTAATATTGTTTGTATTAATTGCTGTGAATTTGTGAATATTTTAGTATTATTTAGTGCAACAACGTTGTGAAACTTGTCGGTGAGTAAAATATTGATATAAATGCAACACGTTAAAGATGCGAGTTTTTTTGCCTCGCATCTTTAATCTCATTTTACATATTCCAAATTGTATTTTATTTTTACGAACTTTACATGATATATTAATAATTAATTTGACGAATATGAGAGCAATTAAACACTAGTAAATTATTTCAAAATGTGAGCAGAAATAGAAAATGTCATGTTATTTACGTGCGTCGCAAAAGCGTTCACATAACCTATGTAGTTTTTTATTTTGTAACATTTATTATAAACAAATATATCAGTAATTAAAAAGTTATTATTTTATAAGTAATCTCTATTTTATAATCTCTATTTATAAGTAATATCTCTATTTTATAAGTAATCTTTATTTATCACTAATATTATTATTTTATATTGCAGCTGTATAATAGAACTAGTTTAATCACTGAAAATGGCCGATGCACAATCAATCGCAGAACATAAGGAAGAATCAGATAAACAAGACGATTCTGTGAAGAACTATGAATTTGACGGACAAACTTACATTTATACCGATAAAGCAACAAACGTCACGTACAAATTCGATCAAGAGAACAATAAATGGATAGTGAAAGATGAGAAAGATAACAAAGAAAGTTCTGAGAAAACTGAAAAAAAGGGAAATCCTGATTTCAGTGCAGCTGGTGTTTTTGGTTTTGAAAACGATACACACACTTATACCGATCCAAACGATGGCAGTATGTACTTTTGGGATAAAGAGAAAAGTGCTTGGTTTCCAAAAGTCGACGAAGACTTTATGGCACGATACCAGATGAATTATGGTTTTACCGACACCAGTGTATCACAGCCGAAATCAACAGAATTAAAACTTAATCATCCTTTTCCACAAAAAAACACCAAAGAAGAAAAAGAGCAGAAGAGAATAGAAGCAAAACGGAAAGCTCAGGAACCACCAACCTGGTTCGAAGTTGATGAGGCACATAATACAGCTATTTATGTCTCTGGTCTACCTCTGGATATTACTATAGACGAGCTTACTCAGCTCTTTACTAAATGCGGCCTTATAGCAAGAGATGAGAAGGGCAAGGATAAGATCAAATTATACAAAGACAGCAACGGTGAACCAAAAGGGGATGCTCTTTGCACCTATATCAAGGTAATATAATATGAAGTTTACTCTTTTTTTTTTCTTTATACGTACGTAAAAAATACATGTACACTTACAAACGTAGCAATGAAACAAAAACAGATACTAAATTAAAATGAGAGTTTTGTATTGTCTCTCTTTTTTACTTTTCTATCTAATTCTATAATTACATTCCTGATAGGAAACCATTTAGAAAATTATGTGACGAAATCTTGCACTAAAATTGTAATTTGCAATTATACAGACATATTTTAGGAAATAGATGTAAAAACATTGATCTTTTCTGAAATATTTGTAGTTGTTGTTTGCAAAATTACTTTCCAAATACTATTTCGGCAAAAGAATAACGATATGGCGAGTCATCTTAGCAGTATATTTGCAAACTTAATTTCACAAAGAAATTGTTTAATAATTGGAGGAAAAAATTTCAGCTATGCGATGTTTAAAATATATAGAAATATAATTGCATATGAAGAAATCAACTTAATTCATGTACCCTGATAGGAAAACATTTACAAAATTATGCGACGAAATCTTGCACTGAAATTGTAATTTGCAATTATACAGAAATGTTTTAGGAAATAGATGTAAAAACATTGATCTTTTATAAAATATTTGTAGTTGTTTGCAAAATTATTTTCCAAGTACTATTTCGGCAAAAGAATAACGATATGGCGAATCATCTTAGCAGTATATTTGCAAAATTAATTTCAAAAAGAAATTGTCCAATAATTGGAGGAAAAAATTTCAGCTATGCGATGTTTAAAATATGTAGAAATATAATTGCATACGAAGAAATCAACTTAATTCATGTATATATATATATATATATATTATAGAAATGCATAACGACTTTTTCGCAATTTTTGACAAATATCATTTACAAATTTTTATTTCGACAAAACTGTTGCGTTATGGCGAATCATTTTAGTGCAATTATTGCACAAATGTGCCTATTAGAGATACTTTTATAAAATCCATATATTTGTGATTATAGCAAAAACAAAAATCTATTATTAATATTACACTTATATTTAAATATTATTATTATCATTATACATACATTAGTGAGCTGCACTGATGATAAAACAAAATTATAACATGTCAAGAATTTAAAAAATATTTAATAACAAAAAGAGATTAAAAAAAAGATTTAGATATAATAAAAGACGTGATAAGCAGCAAAAAGTAATAAAATATTATAAGTATAAAATGTGTATATATATATATGTATATACAGGAATATATTATTAAAAACTATTATATTAACTGTTAAATTATTAAAGTTTATAAAAATTTATAAAAGTTTTATTAAGGTTTACTAAAGTTTACAAGTTTACAAAAAAGTTTTATTTTCTTTTATATTATTTTTTATATATACATATGTGTGTATGTGTAGTGTGCATGTGTACATTAATATAAAATATTAATATATAATACATAATGTTTCGATTTTTTGTGTATCAATTATATTGATAGTTAAAGATAAAAAAAACTACAAAGTAGGATAACTTTTTTTCTTCAGTTGTGTTCCAATCTATCATTTTCATTTTAAAAACTGGCAACCTTGCTAGTTACGCTTAATTGACGCTTAAGTGACGCTTAATTGATACAATGCAAATTTGTCACGCCATACGATGACAAAACAAACATGTAAATAGAGCTTGAGATGTGTTTAATGAATATAATATGAATTATCTACTTAACTCGCATAAAACATTACGATACACAACTTAGCAATACACTCGCTATAAACAAATTTATAGAGAGACATAATGTAATGAATAATTTAGTGAAAAATGATATTACGACTGAAAGAATAAGAGAAAAAAAAGCTATTGAGACAAGCGTTAGTTAATATACATCGATGTATATTACCTATGTGTTGCACCACACAATTCTTCTATTTATTATGTCTCAAATCTTTGCGCGCGCGCAATGTCAGGCAATACCGAACGAGGTCTATTACATAAGATCCGATTGATTTTATCATGTTTCGTCGAATCTCATTTAGATCGATCACATAGCAAAGAGTTTTTTGCAACAGAAATAATACTTTTGACATTTTCTGTTATTGTAAAAGTTTGTTATAACAATATAATATTTTGCAAAGTGTTTTTCTTGGAAGAAAAGAGAATACAAGATCACAGAACGATTAGAGAAAGGGAAAAAACTTTTTTATGTTGTAATAATACATTTATAATAAAAATACGATCATATAAAATATATTCATCGATTTTTTTAAACGATGTTTTTCAATTAAACCAAAGTGAATGGCTGCTTGTGCCGCACAATATAAATGTCGCAAAAATATAAATTTCCAACTCGTTGGTCGGGACGAAGAGAGATACATATGTATTCCACGCACGGCGTCGTCGATCGCAAGGTGTGTTATACAAAATTTGTTAATATAATAGCAAACCGTAATTATAATATGTATGTTACAGTGTAAAATGGCATTAATAGTTTTTCTTTGAAAGTTTCGTGATAACGAAACTTTTTTACGTTTTAATACTTGTTTTTAGCGGCGTGTGTCATGTCAGAGCAGCTTTGTGGCCGCAGCCGTAACTAATTGTTTGATGAAACCTAAATTCTTCTCTTAGCTTAGACGTAACTTTTCTCTCAAGGCTTGAGTAAAACTTCCTCTTGTGCTAAATCATTTATTTTACTGTGGAACTGCGATAGAACATTCATATCCGCCAAATTCTGAGGTTGATGGTTGTTAGATCCGCCGTCCGGAAAAACGTCGTATTTTCGTCTTTGGGGTAACACTTGAGCAACCCTGACCACAGGAGGTTGTTGCAAGCGGGTTCTGTTTGAACGTAAGGTCTGATGTCGCGCACGTTCTCTGGGCTCCGTGACTTTGATGCTGTCAACAAATGAAAAATTTATTAATATATCGCAAAAGTTAGAGGTTTTTTTTTAATAATTAAATATTTCTAAGGTTTAAACGTTATATAAATGTTTTTTTTTTTTTTTTTTTGACGAGTGAACACATACGCACGCGCACATGCATAATGTATACTAAACAAATGTAGCGTGACAAAATTAGTACTTAGAAGGCGGTCGTGACCCCAATTTGACACCGTGAGCCCACTGCTGGTTCGCTCTTTGGTCCGTCCAATTTCTTCTCCAAGTTTGGCTTTTTTTTCTTCCGTCTAATTTTTTCTGATCATCCGAAAATTTCTTGCCCTTCTTTCTGGGCTTTAATCTTTGGTTTTGCGGTGCAGAAATGTCAGATTTCTTGCGTCTCCTGACTGCGTGAGATACGAACAATAAATTCATAAAGTGAATTCAGTTATCGATCATATTGTAGGAAAATTTTATTTTTTTTTTTTACTGAAAGTGTTACACAGCGTATCTCTCTCTCTCTCACCTATACGGCCAGCTGGTACTTCGCATATGTAATACTTCCGTTCGACACAACTTCTCGCACTCCACTTGTATTTGAATGCGGGATCCATTATGACACAATGCCAGGCGTACTTCTCCGATTTCTCGGTCTCGGCTTTGCCGAAACTCTGAAAGACCATTTTCTCACCTGTCACACCCCATTCCCAGGCCATTTGTTGCCAGTTAAAAATTCCACCGATCCATCGCTCCAGTTTTGCTATCGGATATTTCATTGATTGTTAGATTGACGGATTGACATTATACGACATAATACGACGTTCAAAAATCAGAAACGAAAACAATTTGACAGCAGCTCGTACTCACTGAATTGTTCTCCCATCAAATACTTTCTCAGTATCTTGTCCTTTCCATTTCTGTCTAATATAGCCAGAGTTGCGTTTCTGTCTTTGCAATGGAAGTACGCTTCTCTCCAAGGTGCGGTGCCCGCGCTCAAGTAGTAGCAAAATCGTTTCAGTCGAAAGAATCCTACCGGACATGCAAATCGTCTCACAGGTTCGTGCTGACGCACTGCCGTAGATTGATTCCTCGCTCGGGAGTTAGCTCCGAAATTTTGCGAGTCCCAAACAGCTGTGGATAAACCTAAAAAAAAAATCAACAAACAGATCCGTCACATACGCGTATTCTTAATAAATTGCAACAAACTCTAAATCTTGGATTTTCTTAGGTTTCAAGATTTATGCAAATCTCGACTTTATATACCAAAGAGTAATTTTTCAATCAATTGTGTTTTGTGTATTGTATTATTTGTAGTGATAATATATTTTTATTCGCGGCTGCATAAAAACTTACAGCTATTTAAATATTTTGACTCAGACTTGATTGTGCAGTCGTTTGTGGTGAAAAATTTCATCTTGCAAATGTGATTCAATTATTAATGATTCAATTATTTTTTGTAGAATACAAAAAGTAAGGTGCTAAATTGTAACTTTTTTTTGTCAATATTTCCGTTATAAAACCCATTGTTTGTATAATACTTAATTTTTTCTGTTTTACTTGTCATAATTTATGTGCATACCTTATGATGTTTCGTTTCGGATGAATACATTTTTGTTCCGTGGCCTTCGAATTTATGCATTATATTATATAAGTGTCGTCTTTCGATTCACGCGTGATTAAGCAGACACATACTTATCATTATTAACATAAATTATTAAATATTATCTCACATAATAGATTATTACTTTCTATGTTTATCTATGATAACAGTTTCCCATCGTTAAGGTTTGAGCGCAATAGAAAAAATATTAGGAATAAGAATTAGAAATGAAAGTTAAATGTGCTATACACTAAAAAAAAACTAAAATATAACGTATAAATACAGGAGGTATGTCATGGCTGCATGATATACAGCCTATATTTATATACATTTATGTTATATTTTATAATGTAATGCGTGATGTTTGGCTTCGAATATTTTTTAAACAAAAAAGTCTATAGCTTCAGCCAATTATCCATATTACTTGTTATATTTTATGTTTTCGCATTGTGCATTACATTTAACACCTCTGTTTTTAATTCCTATTCCTAATATTTTTTCTATTGCACTCAAGCCCTTATTCTCATAGACGTAATATTCAAGTGTAAAAGAACGATTTGTTTTGTGACAGAAAGCCCGCGATAGAATTCATCATATTTCTGTAATTAGTGATGAACTGTAAATCTTAATTTTTATCTTTGTACTCATGTATAACACACACACACACACACACACACACACACACACACACACACACACACACACACACACACTTATGTATAAAATGTTTTTTCATAATAAATTTTTATAAACAGGTACTTAAGTTTTTTATTGTACTTTACAAGCTATATTTTATCTAACGCAAAATAATATTAGTTTTATCATTGAAGAGAAAAAAGAATATATATGTGTTCATTATAATGTTGCACAATTTCCCTACAGAGGATTAGATAACTTGATTGATTGAAACTTTTAGGGCGTGACGAGAATCTTTTGAGAACGAAATAGATTAGTATAAATAGCACTTCTGTTTATGATAATATTGACGGATGATTACGCAATAGCTATTCTTATTTGTAATCGAATTCTGTCAGAGGTGGAGACATCTTAAAATGTAGCATCTCTCAAGCGCGCGTAATAGTTTAAAAAATTGTGATTCTAAAAAACGATTTTTTTTTTTACACTTTCGAGACAAAATTAATTTAAATTAATTTAGTTCATTATGAAGGCGCACACGACACATTAGCAGTAATTGTCCGATATACGTATTCGATTAAGTATTCACGAATTCAAGTCCGTGAGTCATCGTTGCATAAATCGATCCCGCAGCATGCACGTCTCTCACTAGAAATTTCATCTATAATAGTCACCCAGTATCATGTGACTATTAATAAATACCAGTGAGTCTTAATAAATACCAGAGACTCTTGAATCTCTTTCTCACCACAATCTTTCAGCATGGAATATTCTTCTTCGCACGACAATTACGCGCGTGGGGACCAGCAAACATTTTTATTGCGCACAGTTCGTATCAATTTTACGAGGATTTTACAGAACACGCAAACTTAAGATAAAGACTAGAAAAACCAACGCGTGTTAGGCCTTTCCAACTTTACTTAAAAATCAGGATAATGTATAACCGGTTTGATTTATATATATATATATATATATCAGTTTTAGTCTGAATAATAAATGACCCGAAGTGAATTAATTAGAAATTTGCATAGCTTTAGCTGTTTTACTGTTAAATTATTATATTTATAAAGAGTTCCTGAAAAGAAACACTTGTATATTACAAAATATTGAATTAGAAACAACAGTCTAAAGGTCTTCTACAGTCATAACTAAAATTCATTATTATTATTATTTTATTATTATTTTTTTTTTTTTATTGTTATTATAGTATTTTTATTATTATTTTTTATAGATTTTGATAGAATCTTTACCTACGTAGCTGAGTGAGAAGTGCAATTTTTATTATTATAGTATTTTTTATTATTATAGTATTTTTATTATTATTTTTTATAGATTTTGATAGAATCTTTACCTACGTAGCTGAGTGAGAAGTGCAAATAAGATGCTTAACGCTGCATATAGAATACACAGTTTAGATTTTTTCATTTTATGCATATTAAAAAGTTAATCGCACGCAATTAATTTACGAAACACGTATTAAAACAACGTGTGATTTATGTAAATTCATGTTTCACTTACGTTGTTTTTATGTTTGCACATATATGTAAGTGACGCCTTAATCAGAATCACATAGTAGTAATTCTACGTTTTCACGTACAATAAAAACTTTCAATTGCTCGCAATCTATATTTTTATTAATTATACCACGCAGTCGATTTCAGATTTAACTGCAATAGATGAAAGTAACATACTACACACACACACACACATTTGTCAGTTGGAAAAAAAAATTATAATTTATAATTAGCGCAGGGAGTGTGCGATATTTAATCGTACGTATAATTAATAAACCGTTAACAAAAATTATTCCGCGTTTAAAACGCTTTTAACGAAGCTGTTAGAAAATCCATTACGATAAACACGTTTCTTGTCGGAGATCTTCATCGCGCTACCGCATCCAGCTACACGCGAACCTCGCCAAAGATGGATACCGCTTTGGGCCGTTGCAAATATGCAACTTGAAATGCGAAACTAACAAGCGAGATAGCTACTGTATATTTTATTCCGTGAGGAAGATCGAGTTTCAGTTGAAAACTTTTTAAGTCTGACGTCGTGACGCCCTTTCAACTTTCTTCTTTCGAAATGTCTGCAGATTTTCTGATCTGTGCCATACATGCCGCATATAATACGCGAGTATATTTATGACGAAATTTAATATCCTACGATATCGCACATTTATATTGAGATAAAAAACTAGACTTGCGATATTAAAGAGAACTTAAATGTGAGTCACGAAACTTGTTTCCCTGGCAAATATCATGTTCTCTTTAGCGTAAACAAAGACCAATAAATTTTCTTCTTCTTGGCAGACTCGCGTGTATGTATCATCCTTGCGTAATCGTATGCGTCTTCTTATCACAGGTGCGCAAACCGTGTTGTTGACTGATACAGAAATAACGTCTAAGCTAACAATGAGATATACCGCGTGAAAAAAAAATAACGACGGGTTATTTGCGTAAATGTTCAATAAGCGGGAGAAATCGTGTGTAAAATTATTTTTTTTTCCTGTTTATAAAAAAAAAGTATAAAATTATAGATAATTATATAAGTAAATAAACTCTCGAGAGCGCGTTTATAATATTTTTCCATTCGGAACGAATGTAAAAAAAAAATAGGAAGATATGTGTGTACACAGTAGCAACATTTTTTGTATGAGTTTGCAAATATATAGTCGTACATTTGTCGGAAGTGCCATGAAATTGCAAATAGCGCAAAACGATAATCGATGAATTTGCGTAACCGTCTAGCGGAGCATTTTTTTTCAGCAGAGTTAACCATAGTGTTCGTTGGAATAGAAATGTAATTGCACACACAAAATGTGTATACTTATTATTTCCGTTCTCTCTGCTTATTATCAGTAACTTTTATTTGGTATTACGCTGTAACCAATAAACCTCCGAGAAGAAGAGGTCTCGCGCAAATCATTCTGTTATCGATAGTCGCGACTTATATAGAGTGTGTATCTCTCTCTAGCTATCTATAACTTACACACTTTCATTCATACAGCGCTTATAGCACAAGGTTAACGTCGACACTGCTTGGGTGGACGTTCTTCTCATATTTCCAGAATTTATCGCGAAAGACTAATATTGTCAATAATTATGTGGTTAACCTTTGGCTTTTATTTAGCGGGGGGAAAAAAAATTGATTAGTTCCCGCTAATTAGAGTATTTTTGCTCGGCATAATTTGTAACCGTATAATTAGCAGTCGATCGCAAAAATATCAAGTGATATATACACTCACACTTGAGTTGCTTCCAATAAAATTATAAATTATACTCTATTGTGCTCTACTTTATATATCGTCATTACGTAATTTCTAATTGCGAGTTTTTTTTTATTTCGTGTTGTTATAATCGTAATCTTGCGATTGTTTCGTCACGACCTAGTTTGTTTTTTTTTCTGACGCGGATTTAACTTGACGTGATTGTTAGTATTCTGTCTCTTTTAGATCTCCGATCGTGAAAATATATAGACGATCGTCTCTGTTCCGAAACTGTCTGTCTGTCTGGATGAAGGCGCACGTGCGCCTCAATAGTTAATTTACATTTTGTCGTTACCTTCGACGGAAAATACACGGTAAAACGCGAATAAAATGTACGCGCGTTCCGTACGAAACCGTCTGCGCAACATATTCGTTTCACCAGCAGGCTGGTTAATCTCACATGCAGAAATGTCATATAACCGATATAAAGTATGCACCTTGCAACATGCATTCCGCTTATAAAAGTCTGTCTGAGAATTTTATTAAATTTTATTATAGGATGTTTTTTTTTTTTTTTTGGTTCTTTCCTGGTAAACACACAAAATTTTAATTGAAACATGTGTACATATATATATATGTGCGTATATATATATGTGTGTGCATGAGTGAATGAATGTATGAGTGTATGAGAAAGAAGGTCAAAACAAATGTAATTAACACAACTTAAACGCGTCTTTAAAAACCGTTGCGGTACAGTAATCTACTTTCTTTTCTCAATTACTTATATAATAACAATGTCGAGAAGAATTCCGTAAGATTTTGACGATCGGCACCTTTGATATTTTTATACATCATTTTTATATATAATTGATTTTTTTATGTATAATTTATAAGAAAAGAAAGATTTCTTTTTATAAAGCGTGACACGTCAGATTGTGACGCTGATTGTTAACAACACAATCATACATGATCTCACAATCTTCATACAGATAATTTGCATGTTGCGCCTTGGAGCTTCCTGTTCTATCTGTTATTATATTTACTGTCGATTAACGAAGTATATTTAATCAAGTTATGGTTGTACAAACAACCATCTTAACCGTGTCTCACAATCAATATCAAAACAAAGTTCTCTTCACAGAAGAGATAGCGATAATCTTGTGTATATCAGCAAAATTTTAACAATATTTAATATTTTTTAAAAATAATCCGATTTCTTGTCAATTTACAAAAATTGAAGTTTGTTAAAGAAAATTTATAATTTAGACACTTTTAATACGACATTTTTGTATTGATAAATTTTATAATTTTGACAGCCATTTGGCAGAAGGAAATTTACATTGTGGACATTAATATGTACACAATTGTTTATTTCTACGTTTTATTTCAATATCATTGAATGCAATTGTTTTTTTATGAATCCAAAACTTGTATAACATGTTCGAAGTATTTTCACACACACACACACATCTAATTGCCGGTATATGGTTTTATGCAATACAAAAATATTTGTAACAATTTTTCGCAAATTGTTATAAATATTCACAGTGCACAGAAAGAGAAATAGTTATTATTTTTCTATTTGTTTTTTTTTTAACTTACTATTATTCTTCCCGTATTTTTACCACCGCTCTCTGTAACACATTTCGCGTCACATTAATCTCGAATCTTCCCGCTCATTAAAATTTCGCTCTCGCCCGCCAATTTGCTTAATCCACTTTGCACGGAAAGGATAAATTACCTGCGAAGCATAGAAACAGGATCCAACACTTCCACATGATTACCCGACACGTCGTATTTATTCCCCGAAGTATTTGATACAGTGACTGCGATGCACGTGCAAGATCGTCCTCATTCTCGTTCCTTGAACCTCACGTCTCTTCCGATTTTGCACATCGGTTCGTAAGAATCATTACGCGAAGTCCGCGTATATAGACCGCAAGACGAAAAGAAAATTCAGCGCCAATTAAAGTTTTTTTTTTTTCTTTTCTCTTTTCTTTTTCTATGAAAATCTCAAATCTTATCGATCAATATAGAAGATATCCGGACTAAGTCGATCCAGACACGAAGATCGTTCTACGGCGAAGGTTCGCGGCTGACTGAAGCCGCCGCTTCCATTCCGCTCGGCGCGTACCTTCGCGCGCTCCGAGCTTACGAGCGGAATTCTCTCGCGCCTCCCCTGTGTCGTCACATGCCACCGCCATCATTTCTTTTTTTTGACTGAAAAATCAACAGATTTGTCATAAAAAAAAAAAAAAAAAAAAAAACGTAATTTATGCATCATGGTTTTTTTTTCGAATGCGCTTTGCGCGCGGTTACTTGTCGAGATAACTGATGGCATGTTTTTGCCTATTTAATGTTTGGTTTTGCATTTTCTGCTTATTTTTTATTTTCACAGTTCGGATAATGTATCTGCGAGAAAAATTTTGATGCGTGTGAAACAGTGGTTCGCGTATACAACGGAGTTAATTGTTTGACTAATGTGGGCGCGATATGCGATGTCAAACTTGTGTGCTTTACATTTTCTTGAAAAATGACGCAATTGCAGAAGTTTTAAACGAAAAGTTTTATTTGCTAAAACCGAATGTTTTTATACTTCTCTTCTTGATGGTTTATACTTCGATTTCTAATTGCGAGAACAAACATTGGAATTTATTGTTGATTGCATACAAACGCGTAAAAGGTAATTTACAAAGCTACGCGTTCTGCATAATATCATTGTTACTTGCTTAGGATATAGATATAGACTCAAGGATATAGATACACAAAATTAAAAAGCGCAGAGCGTGCGGTAATTACGTTGCCAACGGATATAGAAATTGTTGAACAAACTCTCACAAAACGCAGCTGTGCGTTGTAACCGCGAAACGTTTAAGAAATTGCACGTCAACGAGCTTAAAGTGTTCACATTGTGTGCTCGATATTAGTATCATAAAGTAGAGTTAAAAGCGAAGAAATGAGGGAAATAAAATCTATTGTAAATTATTGTTACATTTTTTATAATAAACGAAGTTTTGAAGAGATTTATAGAAAAAACGCGCAATAGGAATTGTGTAAATATCGTGTAAAACTCACAAGTTATTGGTTTCTTGTGTGTTTGGTGTGTTGTTGCAACACAAAGTTGCTAAATAAAATAAAAAATGATATAAGGAAAAAAATGTTTGTTGTATGTTTACGATTATCGTTTGAAATTAGAAGCGTGTGAATAATTATGGATCTTATATATAACAACTATACCATCAGTTGTTAATATTGCTTGATAGATATAATTAATAATTTATTAAAAATTGTAACTATCAAAGGAATTGTAAACATACGAGCTTCGTGATCAATAAAAAATACTGTCAATATCAATAAATATAATTTATTGATAGTGACAACACATTATTGACAGTATTATCACCGTGTATAAAGTTGATATAAATGATTTTGTTGTTGACACAAAATTACACTTCCTGTATACATTGGGAAAAATTATGTAAAAGTAGTTATGAAAGCATGAGACGATTGTGCGAATCGAGCGTGTGTGTAAAGTATACTGCTAGAATATCATATGAGCTGGCCAGACGATACAATTTTTGTTTAATGGCAAGCTGCCAATTGGGTGCATTAATGCCTATCTGCCCGATAATATCTTTCGAGACGTTAATGTCCGAACGAGGTGATTAAAATATGATAGCAAAAAGTAAGCAGAAATTTAAACAGATGCTTTTAAAGCGAAAAGACGATTCTTTTTTATCGAGTTAAATTTTGCTAGTCTTAACAGATTTTTTTACATCGCACTCTTTTGCAAAAAACCAGATAAAGCGAAAAGAGCGAAGTCCTCAACGAGTCAAATATGTAGATTATATATATATATATATATATAAATGTGTAGATTATATATATATATATATATATACATATAAAATAATATAATTTATATATATATAAATATATTTATATATAAAGTTTTTGCATAAGAAATGTGTTGTTTTTATTTTTGACCGAGACAAGGTCGAGTTTAAAAATTTGAAAAATTGATAACATTTAAAACATTCTGACATACGGTCAAATGACTATAATAATTTTGTTTTTTATATCGTCTCAAATATATATACGATATATATCAAATAAATCAAATGTCAAAACTCGATAATAATTACTGCACACAAACAAGGAACGTAAAATATTCGATATATTTAATAAAGCAATTTGAAATCATACAAAGCGTAGTAGAAAATAATAGTTTTAACTCTTTGATGAAATGTACTCATTTGTTTTACGAAAATGTTGGCAGTCACGTATTTTACACACATTTGACATTAAAGTACGAAATTTTTATTTTTTACTTTTTATTTAGATAGACTACATGTTTCGAGAGTAACGATAGGGATGAGGCCCACGTTCGGGCAATACTATGACGGCGATTCATTTGTGCATTCCTGATGCTTTGAAAGATACAACGGGAATGCTGCAATTCGCGGAATTGCAATTTGGGGTGGGCTGACGACTGCGTGCCTGAAATCACAACAGAGTGATTGACAGATTCAAGTAATTCTAGATATTGCGCGTCACAGGCATTATGGTGATGATGCCAGTGATTCAGTTTATAGCTCAGGATATCTATATCTTCACATGATTATATCAGCATACTAATACGTCAAAGCAGCTATATGTAAAAGTGTTACGTCATTGATTTTTATGCTTCTTCCTCATCTTGAACAATTTAATATATAAATAAAAACTATCTCTCTTTCTCTCAAACTTAATTTCAATAAGAATACACCGAAAAAATTATATTCTTGTAAGTAGAAGATTTTATACTTAAAAAATCTTGTTAAAGATTTTATAGATGACATTCTTCTGAAATTAAAAATATATTCTTTATTTAAGAATATATTCTTAATTTAAGAATATAGTCTTTTTCGATAGTGAGATATATATGTTTTTCTATAGAGGCTTTTTATATTCTAATCAGTATATATTCTTATCAATATTACTATTTAGAGGATTTTCCTCTTAAAATAAGAAACTCTTCTTGGCGTCTATTTTAGTATAAAATATACTTAAAGTAAGTGGGATATCCTCAAAACAAGAATACAATTTTTTCGGTGTAGGATTTTCAGAAGGAACAACAATACTTGTGTGTTTTGCAGATAATTCCAATCGTAATTTTTTAATTCCAAGAAACCCATCCGATTTATTATTAGAAGTAGTATTTGTTTCTTTACAAGATATCTGTTAAAAAAAAACGCAAAATTAAACTTAAGTATCTAATTATATCATAAAAATACTACATTATTATATGCTACATAAAAATTACTTTCCATTAATTCAAAATACTTATCGCAGGGGGGGTTATTATTAAATACTTGTTAAATTAAATTTTATACATCTCTCTATCTTTCTCTCTCGTGGTTAGTATAAGTTTAATATTTATAGTTTTATTTTCACGCACAGAGAGATTTGACACTTTGACGGTCAAATTGTTTCAAATTAAACATTTGCAATCGAATGAAATCATAACCACGAATCAGCAGCAATCGTATTGTATTTCAGACACGGTGTTTTCCAAAGCGGATAAGATGATATAACAAGGTGTTTTTTCGAAGAACGGAAGAAAATGTCCGCGCGGAAAGCAAAAATTCTGCAAATTTAGTGATACAAAGGGTTTTGAGAGTGCTTTCAAAAAAAAGTAACTTCAACAAAAACCTAGTACTTGTACGTAAAGTATTGATATTTATTTTTTTATTGCTGCAATTAAAACGCGCGATCGAGAATTCGCTGGAGATCTTTGATCTCCGCGGTAGACTGAATCCCGACTAGAATCTGCGAACAACAAGTGCGTTCTTCTTCTTACGTACATTTGCCGCGAAAGGGAACGATCACAGTGCTTTCGAAAGAACAGGAAGGTCAGGTGCGCGCCTTATGGTATGGAACTTACATTCTTAAGAACGTGTAGATGGAACATTTGATATGCCGATTTGTAAAACCTACTTGTAATGAAATAATGACTTTTATTTCTCCTGAAGGAGAGTTTAAAAGAGAGAGGAGAGAGAGTAACATTTTGTTCTTGGTCGTATGACGTCGCGCTGTGTTACGTACGTAGTCGCTGAAAGACCAACTAAAAGGCACCGTGCGGCACGAATTATATCCCCCCGTTGACGTTCGTATTCATTCATATCATTGGTTTTTATTAGGCGGAAACTTCGGCCGACGCGAATCTGCAATTTGCGTAGTCATAACTTTCGCGACGTCTGTCGTTAAAGTTGAATTCCGAAGCGCGTTAACAGTTCCTAATTGCGCCGCCGGGATTCAGGAAGAAGAGGAGGAAGGTTTCGTTCTCGCCGACAAAAAAAACAACGAAAAGCAAGATGGCAATTTTTTTTACGAGCGCTCCCGTGCGCGCTCGTGCGCAGACCTTGTGGAATCCCGGAAACCGGTTTTGCAAAATGTGCCGCGCGCGCGCGCGCGCGCACGCACGCACATGCGTTCGCAATGCGCGACGTCGTAGAGAAAAGGAGAGAGAGCCCCGCGCCAAATATAGGGAAGTTCTGCCAATCTTCCAATTGGAGACGGAAAATAGCGATGTTTCGCGCGATTGTTCGTTTTAAAAACAAAATTAAAAAAAAAATAAATTGATCGTCGATAATCGGATAAACTTAAAGATCTTGTTTGTGATATTTCAATGATGATGTAAAAATTCGAGTCGATTATTGCGCTCGTCGTCGATGAATAAAAATAATATATACTTTTTGACGAGATTCGACATCCTCCGCGGCTTTTCTCGTTTAACCGTTTATCCGCAAAGCAAATGTATCCCGAAATACACATACGCTTCTTGAGAGAAACTGGTACCCGCGGCTGGTACCACTCGAGATATATCGCGCTCTAAGAAAAGACAGATGTGGATTTATTATCTAAGCGGAGGGATGTGTAAAGACAGAGAGAGATCACTTTCTTGATGAATATTGGTGTCTTCGAAATGAGAAAGGCGCTTTTATCTTATCGATCTCTGCATTTGCATTTAAATTATATTTTGCTTTTTTTAAATTGGTTTTTTTAAATAAGCTATTGAATATTACATAATAGTAATTGGTTTTTTT